CTTTAATTTATCTTTAACTTAATTGTTTTCATTTTTGTTTGTTATTCATAAAAGATGTTAGGATTTGAAATGTCTTAACTTTATTAAAGCTCAATTAATATATACGTATAACTTTTATCAAAGATATTAAACTTTTATATACAAAGATGACTGATTTAGCATACGTACAAATTGAATTGATTGAAGGATACAGGTATGCTTTATACAATATTACAAAATTAATTAAAAATTAAATATGATAATTAAGTAAATTGTGGCGATATATAATAAAGTGCAAAGTATATATAATTAATATATTTCTATCTTGTAAAAAAGTTAAAGGACATAAATGTAACAAATGATACGATAAATATTGTTTTATATAAAATGATTTATTCGAAACGTTCACGATGCAAGAAAACAATTTTTTTAAATACATATAAGATTATTTTATTCAATTTCGAAATATTCTCATTTCTATTAGATAAAGAAGTCATATTTTTTGCATAAACTTAAAGAAGACCATTTTCTACCTTTATTCTGTAATTAATATATACAATCTCTGTTCGTCTTCAAAGTGTATATTTAAAAAATGATAAACCTACGTTCCCATCACATGCGATGCGCGTGAGTTTCGGTAATCAATAAAATATTGCTTACATTATATCATGCTGTCTTATAATTCCATGTAATGCTGTTATGACTGTTTAATTATTTTCTGTTATCCAGCACAAAATATATTTTATAGAAAAAATAATTTTACTTAGGGCCGATTGTTCCATCTTTTGGCAAATTTTACCTGTGAGGTAAATCTGGTAATCCACGCATGTGATTGGGTAATCTTGCTACTTACCCAATAGGTAAAATTTACTAAAAGGTGGTGGAATAACCAGTCCTTAGAGATAATAAAGCAATAAGAAATTTAATTTATATTTTGTGAAAATATAGGCGAACTAGTCATATCGAGAAGAATTCGAATCGTCGAAATCTTAATCTTCACATTTTCAGTCTCACATTAACTTATACCTACGAATGTGGCATATCATAAAATAATATATGTGAGATCTAAAAAATGTCTAAAAAATAGCATCCTGCGGAAAAGATAATTCGTGCAACGGCGTATTATGGTTCAATATTTATGCTTATGTCTGTGTTTACGTGGCGAAGGGGAAGGCGGACTACAAGCTCTATGTTTAGAGGAAGTACGTGGAGGCGGTGGGGGTGACAAAGATGGTGATCTACGTCTTTTCCTATCACACCGCTCATTAGCGGGCGATCTGCGTGATCCTCTGCCTGAAGAAAAGGAAGGCGATGGCGTACGTCGAATACGAGGAGGGGACGGGGTAACTGGTACGCGTTTTTTATACGGAGATCTTGATCTGCGTTTGCAGCGCGGCGATCTACTGCGTGATCTAAAAATATTACGAGTACAAATAAATGACAACGCGTAATTATTTCACACATAATGCATGAAAAATTAAACAGTTGCTTTCAAGTTACATATAGACTATATAAGAATATCAATTAAAAATTGCATCACAGAACTCTAGATTGAATAATATTGATTTGAAGTGTCGTTTAAATACCAAATATTGCACAATAAATAATGTATAAGATAGGTCGGTATTCATAGTCGATTCTTATATTTGAGATTGTTTTAAGTACGGTCTTAAGACATCATAGACCGATTAGAAGGCTGTATTAGTATCTTAAGATATTATTTAACACGGTCTTAAAATAAGAACAGATTATAAATATCACTCTAAGTTTTTACCTATATCTTGTAACTTTTGCCGATGGGCTTGACGACCGCCTTCGATCTCTGTAACTGTGACTAGGAGATTCCGGTGTCGTACTTCGGCTTCGTTTCTTCTCTCTTCTTTTTTCATCATCTCGTTCTTCACTTTTTACGTCCTTCATTTCCCTTTCACTCTATAGAAATGTATACATTATATACATGTGTATGTAATATAAATGTTATATATATATCGGAATGAATAAAATTATATATTTCCTACCTTTCTTATAAGTTTCTTCCTATAATGCTCTACTTGTGCCTGTATCGTCATACCAGACTTTAAAGTCCTTCTACCACTTTCTAATTCATCTTGATACTGCATGATTTTTACCTCAATTTCACGTAGTCTATTTCGCCTTTCTTCATTATAATCTCTACCACTACGTTAAGTAATTTTTACAAATACATTTTAGTGTAAACATACTAACAAACATACATTATCAGTAATTATTATAAATATTTTACCTGGAATCCATACTAGTATCTTGAGAATTAGAATCTTCATTTTGACCTAATTCTTCCCATTTACTGGTAGTCATTGCCTGTGCCTCGACCTGATGAAAAAATTGTGTCAACAAGATATGAACGAGAATATCAATTATTTAATTTTACTCAGAAAAAAATATTCTGAAACCTGATCCGGATCAACAGTTTCCCATCGTGAAGGAACAAATCCAGCTGGCATTGCCGATTTTTTTTCGTCATCCTTATTTCGTATGTTTGCGCTATCGTCATCATCCATTGGGACACCATCAATATCTTCATCCACTACGACAAATATACATGTATATATGTATGTTTTATGCACGCGCGCGCGCGCATGTTTGTACAATACATTGTTATTTATTAGAATCCGACCGAAATTTTTGCCGAAACTGAACCGAAACACTCGGCTATATGTCAATTTCAACCGAAACCGAAACCAAAATAAAAAAATAGGAATCCTAAAAAGCCATATATATAGACATGCTCATATATCATTTCTTTTTAAATAAATATAATTTATTGAAACAATAATTAAATTTCGGCCGAAATCAAAAATCGAAATTTCGGTTGTGTGTTCAATTTTGACCAAAGAATATAAACACTTCTTCTTCATAAACATCATAATTTAATTATTGAAACAATAATTATACATATTAAAATTAACCCTTAACCTACTACATACAATTTGGTGCCTCATCCATACTAACGAGGGCACTAGAATCCGTCCGTTTTTTTCACCTATTCAGAATAATTCAAAAAATCCCTAAAAATTCACAACATACTTTCAATTTTCTAGAATAAATATTGACACTTTATTTTGGAAAATAATAAAATGTAGTATAATTTATAATTACCGAAAGACGCAAAGAAACTTGCATGAACAGGAATTGCTCGGTAACTAGTGACCCCCCCTTAGTAGAGTAAAGATTCATATTTATGAAGAAACGTTATATGGTTTCAGTCAAAACTGACACATAATGAGCGTTTATTTTCAATTTCGGTAAAAGTTTCAGTCTGGTACTATTATTTATTAATATACAAAATTATATAAATATGTTTAGGAATGCATATTTACTGGGCACTCCGTCAATATCGTCGTAATTTGAAGTTGTCTGAGACGTGAGACCATGTTTCATAGCACCTTTTAACAAGGCTGCACCATCAAGTGGTACTCCATCCAAATCTTCAGCACCATCGCCATCAACATCAGACAATGGTGCACCATCTATGTCTTCATCGTTCTCAGGCTCAGGTTCGTCCATCTAAAAAAAAAAATTAGAATATTAGATATTATCTCACCAAATCTAAAACATTCATAAAATATTATTACTGTAAAATAAAATTTACCAAAACAAGTCCCAGGAAAGTATTCTGTAACTTAACCAGAAAATCTCTTGGATACACTGCCCAATCTTCCCATGCTCTGAACATTCGCATAACGCGGACTTTGAATCCTTCTGCCTTTAATCTACTGTCAAACTGTTTATACGCTTGATGAACTTCGTTAAAAATATCCAAAAGACGCGTTTCAAATCTGTAAAATAAATGAATATGAAATTAATATCATATGCATTTTTTATTTTGATGTATATTTTTTCTCTTAAATAAAAAAAATAAAGACAAACATGTATACATAAACACACACATATACATATATGTATATATCATACATAAATAAATCTACGTTTTACATATATATATCTCTTACGCCTTCCTATAAATAGTGGCATTGGTCACTTTGACTCCGCAATTATGTAATATGTCAGATATCAAATACAATCTTGCAATTTTTTTATTTACAGGAGTTTGCAGTATTGATAATGACTCTGAAATACAATCACAAATCTCCTCTGCTGCTTCTGCATGTTCTATACAAAACACCATTGCTTCTGCAACTTTTATTCTTTCAGGTGATATGTTTCGCAATAAATCTTCTAAGCGATCCCGCTGACTATGAAAAAACATTTTTCAAACAATTAACATAAATTTTTTCAAAGTATATGTAGTTATCTCTTAGTATATTTTTTTACGAAGATAATGTGGCTTAATTATATCTTGGGACATCTCATCTTGATGAATAATCTTTTACTATTTTTTGTTGTTACCTATTTGAGAGACTACCTCTCCTGGGTTCTTGCCTTTCTTCCATTTCTATCAATTCATCTGGCATACCCTGCGTCCAAGGATTAATCGGTGGTGGTCTCCATACACTTCCACCTTTAAACATTCTAAAATCTTCTATGCGCCATTCTTTTTGCACATCTCCTTGCAGAATGGAGTATAGTTTCCAGCGATAATAAGTATGTGCAGGAGAATAATTTTCAAATAGAAATCTAAAATTAAAATGTTTCTTTATTCAATTAAAATGTATTAGGGACTGAGAGCCAACGTTGGATGTAAGTTGCTAAATTCTATATTTGAACACTGTGTAGTTGTAAATGACTTTTCGATATTATATAATTTTAAAATTACTTAACATTATAAATATTATTACATTTTATTTACTGTTTAGTTAGTTAGATATAATTACCGTTTAGCTATATTTATATCAAGGTTATTATTAACATTGAAAATGAC